TAATCAAATCCTAGTATTGCTCGATTGCAATGTTAGTTATATTTTTTTGTTTTTCCATACAGTAGGTATAAGATGTGATTGAGTATAATATATATACATGTCAATAAATAAAAATAGCATTATTTTAAATTTTAGGTGCTGATTTGGCAGATTGCCCACAAAAAATGCGTTGATTACACTCCAACAGCCTGTGCTGAAGAAGAAACAATCACAGAAGAAGCATCTGGAAGTGCAGGACCAGTACTGAAAGCTACCACAATGAAAGCCGGACCCAGTAAGGAGCCTTCTAAAAAAAAGGAAAATGAGGATTAGTGGAAACCGATGAAACAAGATTTATCAATAACAGAGCTCCAACGTCTCGTTTTACTTGAACAATTACAAGTGTTTCGGCTAGCTAAGGAACTGCTACTTCACAAGAAAAATATTAATGAATCTGATCCAAATTTATGAACTTTAAATGAAAGTGCAGAAACTGGAAATCCAATTTTCATGATCCTATTTCCAGGACAGAACTGACATAAATACTTAACTTACCATTTTGAAAGTGTTATTAATTTTGTTATGAGTATTAAACATCGTTCTTCAACGTATATCTACATAATTTTTAAATTTGGATCATGCTAGACATTTACTTAGACCGAAAGCCATGAATAATTCTTGACATTGCATCTCTTCTAAATTGACCTCTCTGACGTATCACTCCATCTGCATAGTCGGCAGTATGTTGGTTATGGATTTCTTCTTGTTCGCCATCTTCCGGTATATCAACAGCAAAATCTTCATCATTAAGGTGCTTTAGCCACATTATGCAAGATAAAACAACTCATGACAAGGGAGGGCACTTTTTCTGTATCGAAGCGTATTTTGTTATGTAGAATGGGAAAACGCTGTTTTAGTTGCCCGAAACATCTCTCTATTATAACTCGCTCTCTCGTAAACAGCCGATTGTATGATCTTTGTTCTGCTGTTTCTGCAATCCTAAAAGGAGTCATGAGCAAAGGAGCTATACATACCCAGAGACTCCCAACAAAACAGCACTAGCCCTATTCAATTTCATAACGTTGTATATATCAGAATTCTTCCATATCCGAGAGTCGAGTACAAATCCTGGCCAAGAAACATCCACACTTGTGAACTCTTCGTTTGAATTGCACGTTGCTTGTATATTTATACTAGCAAAGTTCTTTCTGTTCACATATTCGTCTGCATGAATAAACGGCTTCATAATAGGTATATCGGTGCAGTCGATAGCACCAATAGTGAAGGAAAATTGAACTTTTCTTGCCACTTATTTTTAGCATTGTGTAGATCTTCACATGAGGTTGGGAATCTAATCCAAATATTCGACTTCTGCACAATGCGTGTTATAACGTTGGTAACGGTTCGGGATACCGTAGATTGATGGACACCAATACCGTCTCCTATGCCAATTTGAAATCCTGGATCACCCACATATCGTAAAAAAACCCTCATTCTTTCTATATTGCTCAAAGCCCGCCCTATATTATTCTGTTTCTCCAAGAAAATAGTTACTTCCACTCAATATTAACTTTACTAAACCGATATAAGGCCCAATAGTCTACTTCCCTTGATTCCCTTCGATCTTTAAACACCTCTTCGTAGGCTGATAAATAGGCATGAACTGGCCATTTCATGAAGACATCCACTTGTTATAAAGCTGAGTCTACTACTAAGGTATCTCGCATTTCTTTAAGTATGTACTCAGCGGTCGGAGTGGACGCTCGCTTTTATGCATATAAAAATTAAAGTCGGCACTCAAGGAGCGAGTACAGCCTCACGGAAAGAGTAGAAACTTATGAGTGTGAGCTTCTACTTACATTTTTATGCATATCAAATGGAGTGGCTACTTTAAAAATGCGAGTCGAAAGTAGCCACTCGCCTTTATGCATATCACCCAGTATTTCGTAAAAAATGAGCATAAGATATAAAGCAACACTATCAGGGGAAGTTCGCGAGATGTATTGTGACTATTGTGGAAGATGCAGCAATTCCGGAGACTCTGTCATGTCATAGAGTGCTACAGGTAGGCTGTGAACTCACATATCGACTTGATGTATTTTTAGATTATTTAAAATTGCATGTCTGGATTCAGCCTCTTTATAATCCTTGTAGTTGGCACCGTTATATAAGTATAAAAGGCCAACCAATTAAGGCATAGAACTGAGCAAACTAATTAAAGGTGACTAGCTTATTTATAAGAGTTATGAATTACATTAGTGTTTTCTTTATTGTTTCAGAATTATCAAGAAGCGGAAGTGAAACCTTGTGTTTTGCAACACTCAACGTGAGCTTGACATAATCTATCTGTATTTCATGTAATACAATTTTTATACCATTGTCAAGAGCATATGAATATTTTTTGATACTAAATAAATTTGGTGCTTCATAATTAGGGATGGATTTTATTATTCTGAACCTTTCTCTCTGCAAAACTGCTGAAAGAGATATCACCCTTATTAGGGATATTTTTTTGATTATATTTTCATGAAATAATCTTTCAATATCGGAAATATCATTTTCAGCAGATTTTAAATTATGAACAGACGAAATCTCAGTCACATTCCTAGCATTCCTTATTCCAGGTGCATTCTTAGCACTCTTCCGATAGTTCCTCCAGATCTCTGGCAAGTAGGCGGTGCAACCATATGACAAACGTCAACGGTGTTGCCATTGTTTAACGTTATGTTTTGTGTTTCTTTCTTTAGACCACGTGGTGTCGATCCTGGCTGGATCTACAGAATAGCAGCTGTAAGACTGTCAACAAAAAAGGCGTGGGGGTAACGTGTCAAATGTCATTTGTGCCTTGTGCTTTGTGAGGTTATTTTTTTCCGAAAAACTTCAAAGTAGAATTTTTCTGTTGCTATATTAAAAAATACGTTCTTATTAATGCTATTATAGGTACTGTTTAAAGTATACATGTACTTCATTTATAATATAAGTGTTTTATATTACAGGATGTCGTTCAGCAAGACTAAACGCTTGTTTTTGGGTTTAGGTGCACTTTCTGGAGCTGCTACATTTTATTATTTAAATAATTTTAAGCAGAAAGCTCATGCTTCTTGGACAACGAATTATATACCTTCATCATATGCAAAGTGGGATGATAACTGGGACCAGTAAGTACCCACATACTTATTATTTCCACAAACTAATCTCATCTCTTCTAGTCGAGCCCCAGAAGTCCTAGTGAAACCCAAAGGTAATTTGTCAGCCAAAGAAGAGAACGAATTAAATGAGAAAATAGAAAAACAAAAATCTAGGGCTGTGAGGCATATCATTTTGATAAGACATGGACAGTATGTATATGGTGAAACTGATAAGGATATGATGCTAACAGAGTTAGGTATGTGAAGGTATTATTGAATTACATAAAAATTATAAAAGCATTTCATAACACCTAGTATACAGTGTAATTAAAAATATTCACCTATTCTTGATTTGTTAATAAAAGATGGTATATGGTGTGGTAACTGAAAAGATGTATGAGAAAACTATGAAGTAGTGATTGTTATATTATTATTTTTTCAGGAAGAATCCAGGCAGATTATTCCGGAAAAAGATTAAAAGAATTAGGGTTCCCATATACAAATATAATCAAATCTACAATGACTAGGGCACAAGAGACTGGTAACATTATATCAGAATCATTGCCAGAAGTAAGTAGCATACAATTATTCTGAAGATAATAATAATGTGTCTTTATTTTCATTCATTTGCTGAGTGAGGTGGCATTCACCACCATTGCTTTTCCATGCAACCCTCAGATATGACATATAGAATTAATTTGTTATTAACTTTGGCACTGGTTTATACCATTCTTTTATACTGTAACAAATATCTTTTCTTGCAGGTTGAGGTTATAAACTGTGATCTAATAAGGGAAGGTGCTCCTATACCTCCAGATCCTCCTATTGGAAGTTGGAAACCAGAGCGTTATGTCAGTATAATATTAAGTGTCATTGAGTTTTGGGCTAACACTAGCAATTCTTAGTTTTTATGTATAGTGATTATCACTCTAAATATTTTGTTTCAAGCTGCAAACTAGGTTATATGGTTAACAATATATCAGTATCTATGTTTGCAAATTGTTAAAATATAATATGTGGTTTGTTCTAGAAGTTTTATCAAGATGGCTCCAGAATTGAGGCTGGTTTCAGAAAGTATTTTCATAGAGCAGATCCCTGTCAAGAAAAAGATAGCTATCATATATTAGTTTGTCATGCAAATGTCATCAGATATTTTGTATGTAGGTAAGTGATTTGCTACTGCCAAGAAAAAATCAATATGTTCCACAACACATTTTTTATATTCTAAACTAAAAAGAACAAATGTAATTTAGATCTCTTAAACTTTGTAAGCAGTTTTTTCTTAATCTAAGCATCCTTACCACTATGTAGAGTGTCTGTATATCTTCCAAATTCTTGGATTTTCACTCTATTTAATTTTTCTGTGTGATTATAAGTAGTTTTCAATTTGTGTTACAACTCAAGAAAAAAGCACAAATTCTCTATTGTCTCGCAAAGCTTTCTGTGCCTTTTTTAATAAATTCAAGCAAGATGAGTATTTCACCATGTAATGATAAAATAAACTCTAAAAAAATTTCAAGTTTAGAAGTTGTAGAATTCATTTTCATGGTCAACCATTGAAAAGGTTTCAAAACTCAACTATCAGTATTTCATATGTGTTATTCTACAAGTAGCAACACATTCGTATGATTCAAAAATGTTATCTGTATTTTTGTTTTCAGGGCCCTACAATTTCCAGCAGAAGCTTGGCTTCGATTATCTTTGAACCACGCCAGTATTACTTGGATCAGTATTACCCCTAGTGGCAGATGTATTTTAAGGGTATATGGAGACACAGGTCATATGCCGCCAAATATCATAACTAGTCGTTGATATCCTTATTTTTACTATTTGAAACAATCAACAAATTTAGCACAAAATTTTGAATGTTCTTGACAGATACATCTGTATTAACCAAATCATTGAAGATTGATCAAAACTGATTTAATATGTCATAATACAAATATTGGTAGCAAGAGTTTGGTATTTTGAATCTTTAATGCACAGTAACATTAGGTGACATATCAACTTTTAAATTTACAAGTAATATGCTGCAGTAAAAACCAGTCAAGAGCCTATTGTGTTTCATGGTTGTGGGCACACAGTGTGCTCAATAGTTAGCATTCTTTTCTGCAGTTATTCCTGTCAACAATTTGATCACTCCTTTTTAAATATACTTTATTACCAAAACACCTACACAAAAGTGCCCTTCATAGCTAAGATGTGGTGAACAGGTACCTATATTTAAGTGAAATATCTAAATGTTGCAAAGACCTGCAGGTCAGTTCAATGCCAATTTATTTTATGAATCTCTCAAGATTGTATGAATATTAGTTTAAGTACTTATAAAATGTTGAATCAATGTGTTAATCTTTAAGTCATAAAATACCTCGTTTAATATTAATTATTATGAAGTATTAAACAATATATGAAGAAAATTCTCAGTGTTTGTCTGGCCGCTAAATATGATAAGTGCCATTTATTAATAGTGAAATCTACTTATTACAAGTTGCTGAAGTAACACAATAATGCAGTAATGCAGTGTTGCCTTGTCATTATTGATTAGCTTAGTTCTAGATGCACATTCAATTTTATTTTATTGGCTTATTGAGTTAGCTCTAATAAAACATGTTTCATTAGTGGTAGCGGCAATTTAGGATTACTTTTTTCTGCTGTACTGCAAATTAATGAATTAAATATTAGTATGTTTCACTTTGAATATTGCTGTATTTTTAATGTGACTCAAAATAGATACTTTTTTTGTTTGTTAACTTTGGATTTCTTTTTTGTAAGTCTAAAAGCGTGTTTAATTTATAAAGACATTTTGTTCAATGTACTATGTTTAATAGGTAAAATGAATATATTCTCTTTACAAAACTAAATGAGAGTCCTTTTCATCTTTGCCATTTTTGTCCATGAAGTAGGATATCAGGTCTATTGGCAGTGGAAATATGATGGTCGAATTCTTCTCTGCTGATATATTGTTCAAAGTTTGGAGATACCTCAGCTGAAACAGATTATAAGATATACATTGATTGAAGGAACTTGTAAAAATAAGATGCGTTGAAGATTCGAACATAAGCTCCATTCCTTGCAGATATCCCAGTATTTGTAATTCTCACCTGTAATGCGACTGGACTTTCATTTATGACATCAGATGCTTCTTTTAGAGCTCTGGAAGCCTTCATTTCTCCTTCGGCTGCTATAACTTTCGCTCTAGCTTCCCTTGAGGCTTCTGCCTCAGCAGCCATTGCTCTTTGGAGTTGTTGAGGCAGGCTCACGTCTTTTCTAGAAGGCCAGTTATTTTTATTAGGTCTAATGAAGTTCAACGATGAAATAGGTATTTTTCAGGTAAAAGAAAACTTGAGATGTTAGGTACGAGGGCGCTCCGATAAATACTTAATATCATAGCCAAATGACGCCACTATCGCGTAGTACATTCGTATAGACGGCTACTATCAAAATGTTTGCTGAATCGGACTCGTAGTTTTGCTTTGATCGCACGTGGAAGCGGGCGTGTCTGCGGATTTTATAAAAATGGAAACAGACCGATATCGGTCGATGATTCGATTTTTGTTTTTTGGGGAATCGCACAGTGAAATCAAAGAGCGCTTGGATGCCATGTACAGTGATTCTTCTCTTTCGATGGCGACCGTCAAAAATTGGTTTAACGAGTTTCAACGTGGTCGCAGTATTGGCCGACCGCCGATTGAAGGTGCGCGTGATTGCTGAGACAGTAGGCATCTGAAAAGACCGCGTGGATCATATCTTGAAAATATTGGGCATGAGAAATCTGTCTGTCCGCTCTATGGGTGCCGCGTTTGCTTCTTCCGGACAACAAGCGCAACCGTCAGACCACTTTAGAGCGTGTTTAAGCGCCATCCGAAGCATTTTTATGTCGTCTCGTGACCGTCGATGAAACATGGATCCACTGGTACACACTAGAGATCCAGGACCAGTCCGAAGAAAAGAACGCGAAGACTGTCCTATCGGCCGGAAAGTTGATGGCCACCTGTTTCTGGGATTCACAAGGTGTGATCTACATCAACTAGCTGGATAAGCACATAACGCTCACAGGGCTCTACTATGCCGAATTACAGAAAAAACGGCCCCATTTAGCGAAGAAAAAAGTGCTCTTCCACCATCACAACGCACCAACTTACACCTCCGCCGTTGTCACGGCCAAATTAGGCTATGAGCTGCTGTCCCATCCACCATATTCTCCAGATTTGGCCCCGTGCGACATCTTTTTGTTCCAAATTTGAAAGTCGATCGTCGGGTAAAAATTTCCAGAAAACGTATTTTTCAGTCGCGTTAAAGAAGTTGGAGCATCGCTGGGTCAAGGATAGCGAGCTAAAAGGAGATTATGTTGAGAAATAAATCGCCACTTTTCCAAAATATTCGTTTTCCTTTTGTAGGCTAAGTAGTTATCGAACCGTCCTCTTATTTCACAATAAGTGCATGGCTCAATATAGGCGTATTTTTTAATTCACCGGTTGAGCTACCGGTGCAACCATTTATCCAATTTTACTTCCTTTAATTTTTGTCTGAGCGACCGGTTGTACACCAAAATTGTCTATAAAGTATATAGACAAGTTTATTGTACAACCTGTCGCTCAGACGGAAATTAAAGGAAGTAAAATTGAATAATTGGTTGCACCGGTAGCTCAACCGGTGAATTAAAAAATACGCTTTATGCCATATCATACCAGCATCATATCCAATACACGTACCAGCGTAGCAACCGCGTTCTATAGTAGTCCAAACGCGTTTGAACCGCGGCTACCGACGTCGATTATCATCTACGGCGCGTACCATCATCACGCAAAATTACGTTACGTCCATGATGTGTTACAATCCTAGTTTGATACTGTATAGTGTATGATGGTGAAGGAGCTTTATATAAGCAGTAAATAAAAATATTTCTAACATTTCCACCCTCTCTACTTTGACACCCCATGGGTCTGTTGCAACGTCCAGTGATGTTTGCATGGCGTGCGATATCGCTTCTCGATCTGACAGAATCTCTGCTAGGTTTCTTGTACCTAAGATGTTCCTGAGAGTAGTCATGGCTAGTAATCTTGTCGAATTGCTGAAATAAAATACGGTGTCAGACCGGGCTGTCTAGAATCAAATTGTTTTGAAACAAAATGTTTCATCTGCTGGTCCGCTGCAGAAATATTAAAACGTCGGAATAAGACAGCGCAAAGGGCCATATATCAGGTCAGAATCGACCTCTGCGGAAGGCGCATACCTGCTATTAGTTGGATCTCGGCTCGCGTTTAATAGCAATGTCACCACATGACCGTTAGATGGCGGACGATTATGGCTGATGAGTAGCAAAAAAAGCATCGTGTTTGGTTTAAATTTAAACATTTGCACCCTCAAACACAGCTTGAACGTTTCTGTTTCAACTTTTCCGTTAGTTTTTTTTACTTTTAATTTAACAGTGACCACGTTCTTGCCGTAAAGTTATTCCATGCTCTTTCATTTCAAAACGTAAAAATTAATATTTTATAGTTGGCCTTGAAAACTATTCGCCTATTCAGCATGTGTTTAGTTTATGCAACTGTTGCCGTACGGAAGGGTCGGTAGTACCGCAATTGGCGATACTGATAGGTGGCGGGGGTCATCTGTGTTTTATATTTACTCCCTACGCCACTGGGCGAGAAAGTATTGTAATTGCGAAAAATTTCGAAAATGATATTATAGATATGTTTTTTGGATGTTATATGACATGTACGAGTATATCACGAAAAACCATGTCACTCATTTCGGTCGGCCTGTCCGCTAATCTTATAACCGCCTATAACTTGAGAAACACCGCGCAGATCTCGAGGAGATGCTTACACAAAATTACTACTATGCCAAGGACGTAAAAGCTCTGTAGTTTTTGAAAATCGGTCCAGAGGCGGCAGAACAAAAGGTTAAAAACTAAAAAATAAAAGTCACCCAAACTTTTGTTTTTTGACGTTATAGAGGGTCATTTTCAGAAAAAAAAATGTGGGGGTTGAAATTCAAGGGTTGAGGGTTGTAGGGGGTGGGGGAGGGTATATGAAATTTTTTGATTTTAGTATATACGCTCCCAACCCAGGCAATTCTATGCACCTATTAGCCATCATATTGTACACATCATAGATTTACCCATACATTAGTTTTTAATCCGCACACCACCTGGCGAACCAGCAGCTTATATACATATGTATCCGTACTGAAGCACAAAAAACATACGGACCCTGCACGAAACGAAAAATAGGTAACTTGCGAACGTTGTCACATGGTAACTACCAGTAGGGCAGGGAAAGAATGTCTTTGGACATTGTGTGGGTCCGTTTGGCTGCCTCGATATCTACGTTTAATTTCTCTGTTACTCAATTTTTTCTCAGAGGAGTTAAATCGCACTGGACTTAATCCTTTATGAGCTGGTGTAGGAAGTGCAGAGTCAACCCACTTGACGTCCTTTTTCGTTGTTTAGTGATATTGTTGCAAGACAAATCGATCGCACGATTGCGCCCACATTCTTTTAAAATCATTATTTTGACTGACTTGTATTTGCTGAAGCTAGATACACATTTCAAGAAAGAAAAAATGTATGCTGCATATTGCAGTCGGCTCACATTATGTTAGCCTACCTATAATTTGTCACCTTGACGACTGCATTCAATGGATCTTGGATTCTATAATAGACAACTGCATCGACTGTGACAGTCACAGAATCCTTCGTTAGCGCCTGCAAAAAAAAATTACCTACTCATTACTTGATAAAAAGCTCGAAAATACCGTGAGCATTCGTCAGCATTCCACCAACTTACGATAGTATGAGTTCTGTACATTAAGTCATGAGACTGGTTTTTTAAAATTTCTATATTCAAATTATATATAATTACAATTTTATATTGTCATCCTCAAAATAACTTCCTTCTGAAACCACACAACGCTGGAGACTCCTCATAGCAGTGCTAGAACTCCGATACTGGAATAGCCTTCAGCTGGTCGGTTACAGGCGTTTGAATGTTTTCGACTGTCCTCCAAATGACTCGAGTGAGTTCAAACTTGTACTGAAGGCAGATCACATGTTCCCCTGTCTCCCCTTCAAGCCCGGCACCTCCAGTGTTGCCAGATCGAGCACTACGTTGCCAGTCTCATCACTTAATTTATAGACCTCGTATCTAAGTTCTGGTATCCCAGGGATGCCACAATATGCGGGGGGAGAAACATCTTTACTGGAGTTTTTAAGGGCGTGCCGTGAGATAGCACATTGGAAGGCGTCAGAACGCCGCAGCATCCTCAGGCTATACAGAAAAACGTGGCAATATTTCTAGGGTAGAAAGTACATTCAAAAATAACATAAAAGTTTCTATCAGCAAGTCCTAAACTGTCCCGCTACAACTCCAAGATGCAGGGTGATGTAAATTTCTATGCCACTGATGAGACTGGATAAGAACACAAAACACAAACATTGTCCGAATAATGCTATGGTGAGATACGATTACTCTCCTAATACACTACGTTCAATTTCGAAGTTGGGTTGGAGTGTTTTATACTGATTTTACCACAAATATTCAAACCAGTTTTTCTCCAAAAGGAGCAGTCAGACAAAATTTCTCAAGAGAGGAGATTCATATGCAAAAACCTTGAAAACTTTATTCAAAAATGCAATAAATGTTTCAAGTTAGTGGTATGTCAAATAATGTTCTTTTTTCTTCTGAAAGTGCTAAAATTTCCATTTTTGATGATATGATTCAGTACTACCAACGATAGCACGACACATTAAATATTTATTCAATATTTAATAATATTTTTATCTTACTTAAATATTTGTTATCTTAAAACAATAATTAATAAATATTTGGAATATTTTATTAAATATTTATTCAATATCTTCTAAATATTTCAAATACAATATTTCTTTTATAGTATTTATTAAATATTTACTTTTCAATCAATGGAAAATATTAAATTTCCATTATTTAGAAAATATTCATTATATATTTTCGGCTACGTGGCATATGCATGTGACCCCGAGCGACCAATGACATATTGGCAAGCTGACCTGAGCCGACCCGTTTGCCGGCATCCATTTTGCCTGTGAGTTTCACTATTATGGTAGCGTGCTTCCTGTGTACCTCTAAGTGGTACATTATTTGAGTGTTTTTTTTGTGGAAAATGGTAAGTTTTTCGATAATTACACATAGCTTAATTTATCTGACTAGTAGATAAACATTGTTGTGTCAGTTGAGTGTAAAGGTATTTATAAGACCATAAATAACTAGCCTTGAAGTGTAACAGTTATTTACTATTTGGGTCTGGTGGATTTATCTCAAAATGTATACGAAAACGCTTTTTTAAATATCTCAATTATTATTATTATTATTTTTGTCTTAGTATGGGACAAATCAGCTGTAACTATTTTAAAATTTATAAGTTCAACAGTGACGTTCCAAAATTTTAACAGTCGAAAATAAAATATTTTTGTCCCTTGAATTATAATATAAAATCACAAAATAGTTATGGCTAAATTAACCCCCTTACCACTGCAAAAAAGTCGCATTTCAACAAAATCAATAAGTGGCCCATATTTAAAAACCTTTTCTTTGACAGTTTCAAATGGACATTTTTCATTAAGATATCCAAAATAACATAAAATTTTCTTAAAAATTAACCAAATCTCGAACTCTCATAGGAAGATAATGTGGGATCCTTTTAGGTACATTAAAGAGTTGCTTTTCAGTGAGCCAATTGAGCTACTTGGAGTAACTCAGCAGTGCTCAGCACCAATATTGTTCCACTGCATTTTATATTTCCATAAATACACCTTCTAGCGTAGTTTGGGAGAATATCTCACTCAAACAAAAGACTACAGAAAAGCAGCTTATGTATTAAATAATACTTCATAATTAGTAAGTCTGTTTTTCTTTTCAGAGGAGTGGCTCTGCAAGATGCAGAAGAGGCTTAGAATGTTTCTTAATGATATTTTCCTAGCAAATTAAACTATTAATTATATCTAGAATGAATTTTATTTATAAACCCAATTTTATAAAAGCATTCCTATAGATTCTGCTAAAATAACCAATGAAGAATTTTCTATATACAATGAAAATATGTGTCAGATTAAAATTGATATTTAAAAATCTTTCCTCATATATTTACTAAATATTTGGAAAAGATATCGCGGAAATATATAAATTATATATACCACAAATATCTATAATGAATATTTTATGAATATATAAGAAATATATTTATTAAATATGAAAAAATCTGCAGCTAAAAATATTTAACAAATATTTTTTTAAAATATTTAACAAATATTTAATGCTATCGGGGGTCTTCAAAATTTCAAGTCAATATTTTAATACACTCCTAAGACATACGATTTTGTCGATTTAGAAATTATAGTTTCAAGGGGATATTTATGGCCCATAATTATATGAACTTTTTGTGTTGTTATTGTATTAACTTAATGCCCTAAACTGTCACACGCTGTAGAAGCTGGCAAATGCTCGCGGTATCGCTGACGATTTTTCTGAATCAGCTCTTCTGCAGGCAAAATGATTTTCGACGTTCTCCTGCCATCTCTTATAGTATATACTAGCTCCTAACAAACTGGAATAGTGCGATCGAATAGTACAAGTTGTACAACAGTTTCACAATAAAAACAATGGAGAATAAGTCGTAAGGCGTTTCATTTTGATTTGAAAAGCATCGTCAGCTAACTACGTCCTAATATGAATCAAAAACCAATAGTCCTTGAATATAATATATAATATCTTCCGTGTCTAGCTGTTGTTTTTTATGCACTTGAACTTTCTTTTTCCAATTTCATTTCCTTCTCTCTTTCTTAGAAGGATATGGCTTCTCTGGTGATAGCATTCGCACTTTGGGTGAGGAAAACCACTAGAAGGCCTGAACCGTCACCGTCAAAAGGTCCTTAGTTATGCCATGCCTTAAAATATTCCCCTAAAGTGTTGTTCAAGTATTACGTAAGCAGTTTTTTCACAATTATTAATCCCCCTTCCCCTTGACAGCAAATGTGAGCAAATCTCTTACCTAAACCGGCCTCCCTCCCATGATTACGAAAACATTTTGGTACATTTTACAATTTGAAGCAAGTATAGACTTTCACGCACATGTTCTGATCCCAGTTAATGTCTGGATAATCAGGAAGATCTGGCTCGCCCGAGCCGTCATAATTTGCAGTAACATAATCATCAATTTCCATTGAACATATACATTTCCGGAAAACTCGAAATTAGATCTATCTAAATGTTCATTAATTGCAACGCCACGTTCATCCAAATGATACCAAAAATGGTCACGAAGCAGTATCAATCCAGTCAGTTCTAAGACGAGATGAACCATTCTGCGCTCTACTCGGTTATACGCATATCTACCAGGAGCATTTATACAAGTTCTAAGCGAATAAAGCATATCCATATTTGAGAAATCCCTGAAGGTGCGTTTCGTTTTCGAGCATAGACAAGCAGAGTTGCCATATGCGTTCAAATCAAAATTGACTAAATCTTGTATAAATTTCGAAAAAGTAAAAAAATAAATATTGCTGGCGTAGCCCCCCATCCCCCATGTCATCAAAAATGAGTAAAGCGACTACCCCTCCGTCCTGCTTCAGTGCTTATGTAATACCTAAATGGTCCTTGATTGAGGGGAAAGACAATGAAAATATTAAAGCAATTGCTCAAAAAATAATATAGCTAGGCATTTTTTTTATACTCCAACTACCACGAAGGCCTAAGGCCTAAGCACCCATTGGGTACCGTGGGGCTATAGGGGGATACATGGGAAAGGGGGGGACGCCACACGGACTCTGGCGAGGGAACACGTGTGCATGCAACATGCACACATTCTGGCTCCGCCTACGAGAACCGCCGGGTGGTACCTCCGCGTTCGACAGTCAGAGACCATCTACCACCTACGGACAATCACAACATCCATAGCCAAGAGAAAAATTTCTCCTGGGACGGGACTCGAACCCGCACAGCGCACGGCGACTGATCAGGAGACCGAAGAGTCTACTACTGCGGCCACCGCTGCTGCCTAACATGTTCAAGGATATTATTAGGTTTGTATTTATGGTAGGACTTAGCTAGTTCGCACATATAATCTGGATCAATGTCAATGACAGTCCGACGATGCGTTTAAAATAAAAGTGACACGCGTTACGACTTCTGCAGTATTTAATTGTAAAACTTGTACAACTAATTGTACTATTGGGCCGCATGATGGAACAATTTCACACGAGTAAAGCACCTACAATCTACAAAAAACCTGGATAGTTTAAGTATGTAATGGTGAATTTTGGCGATAGCAAACCTCTTGAGGCGGTACATCGAAAGATACTGTTCTTAAATCCACCTTGCAATAACTGTCCAAACATGGTAAGACAAAAAATATTCCTGGTCCTCTAGCTCCGCCTTTCCTCAATCTTCCCAGTCGAAAAATGACCGCCCTCTCATATTCCTGCACTACCTACAAATTATTATATGTATTACAAAAAACAGTAATTCCCGCTAATTTACGTTCATATCAATCATTTTCTCATTTTATCTGCTTGTTTAGCGGTCACGCAATCTCAGGAACCGCTGCATCGATTTTGATGCAATCGTGAAATCAGTAAAGAATATCTATTCTATACTAACCTTGAAACACCAGAACAGCGAAAATGGTAAAGTAACTAGTAGTAACAGTACTGAACCGATTGTTACTATGACCTCTATGAAGCTCATAGTATTTGGTTTTTCTGAAATAAAATGAAATTTTGAAGTTCTTTGAGTGAAGAATTGTTGCAAAATTATTTGAAGTGAATACTGTCTGTACAAAAATTCCTGCTGCCGCTATTAGCAATCAGAACTGTATTCATGCTTGTACAGGAAATGCAAGATAAGACTTGCATTATTATTGATAATCATCTACAAATACTTTTATAGCTTTTAATTTCCGTGAGAGCTAGATAAGAGATAAAAAAGTGCATGTGATGGCTTCATCGCTAAAACTATAGTTAAAGTATTTCTCTTTAGCGTCATTTTTAAAAATTTAGTAACTTCCTTTATGGACGCGTTTTCAACAGGGGCTTCAAAAATCTTGATAACAGGCATGTCTCTGTTTTATCTTATCAGTAGTAACGCTTCAAATTAACAGTAGTTCTTTACATAAAATGTGTTGTGTTAAGCGATTTATCATTAAAAACTTACGATACTCAAAAAAACACTCGAATCCGCCGCTTTCAGTCCTGTGAAGTCCACCTTTCATCTACTAGATAACAAAGACTGCGTTTTCAGCACAAATCAAAAATGTTTGACTACTCGCGCAGGCGATGGGCTGCTGCGAAAGAAGTCACGTATTGCAAAGTTTATGTTACGCGGTTAAATTCAACTGGGAAAGACGACTGGCAGATGTGTTGCGGAATTATGATGGAGTGTGAGAAAATCAGAGCCAGAGATACGAGGGAAGTCGATTTCATTTTACAACTTGTTACGCGAGATGATAAGTATTTGCGTATTAAGAAAGCAAATTAGTAACTTCGTCGATTGAGAAATACGAAAATAAACCGATGCGAATAGATTGCGCTTCAATTGCACATCATACTTTACCTTAGGTTACACCTGAGTGAGCTCTTGTGAAAAGAATGTCAAACATTTACAATAAGAAAAACGAGTGCACATAAGTCATGAATCCCAAAGGAAATTAAAAATTGTTATTTCAAAATTCCTCCATTGACTAAAAACATTGATCGAGGAGGGTACACTTCATTTGTTTTTTGACTTGCACACAATTCAGCTCACGGATGGTCTGAGATAGCTTGCTGTAAAAAATTAGTACATTCAATGAGTTTATGGCAGACATGTATATCTAGTCCATAACGTGGCAATCTCAGTGTTCCATCCTGTCTTGTATTATGAATGTGGATTTCTGATTGGGTTGTGTAGCGGTTTAAGTTTTCATGGATGTGTAGCAAAGTGTAAAGTATGTAGGTACATGGCAACAGCAGTATCTCCAATATTTGGAAGAGAAGTTTGCAGTGCTGACTGAACCTAGCACCTGCTCTAAACCTCACTACGCGTTTTTGTATTTTGAATGCACGCACAACGTGACATGATCCTCCCCAAATCATGATGCCATAGATCAGATGAGACTGAAAAATGCCGAATATGCGCTGAAAGTTCTTTACATAAAGATTCTACATGAGCCTCCCATTTGAGATCACTATCAATTTTAATGCCAAGATGAGAAACTGCTTCATTTTCATTTAATGGATTGTGTACCGACATAATGATCTTTTGAGTTTTGTCTCTATTAATTTTTAAGCAGTTCGCCGCAAACCTACTTTGAATTGAGTGTCTAAATGAGCACATTTTTGTCCTCGGGCGATTGAACTAAGGTAGTCTCGTCATCAAAACACGTTTTTTATTGGTGATAAATAATGGGAGATGTCATTCAAATTTATCACGAACAGTAAAGACCCTAAAATAGAGCATTGCAGTACACTATATGTTATTCTGTTGATCTATAGTTTGAATCTTCGCCATCCACAGAAACTGATTTAACAACGATTTACCAAATAAGAATGGAAAAGTTCAAAGAGTGTCCACAAATACCGTAAAATTCTATTTTTTCTAGCAGTATTTTATGCACACACAGTCAAAGGCTTTTGGGTTATCACAAAGCGTCCAAGACGGGAGTTTGTACTCCTCAAAACATCGATGGCACACCGCACAACCTACGCAAGAGCATGTGTAGTAGAGCGTTTATGCCGAAATCCAAAATATTTTTTATTCAGTATGCTGATGTCAAAGAAGGACTTTTAAACGTTTTTTGATCAGTATCTCGAATAATTTAGCAATTATAGGAATTATAGAGGTAGGTCTATAATTTTCTAGGCTTGTGTACAGGAATTGCGTCACTTATTTTAAATGCATCTGGAAATATACTTTTAGAAAAACATACATTAAACAGGTGAGATAATGGCTCCACCAATACATCAAATGAAAGCTTTGAAATTTCGCGATTTAGGTCATGTATACACTCCGAAACTTTTCGCAACTTAATGGCCTCAGCTATTTCATTTTGGGTGACAGGTATGCTTCCATTACAACAAAATACACCGCAGAAATATTATATAGGTAATAGGTTTTGGCAACACTTTTTCAATCTAGTATGTTTTTGACCTCAACACGTAGAGCAAATGTGCCGATGGGTCCAAAGATTTTCTATCAGTAGTTTTCACAAGATACAGTGCAGTCCGTACCATATTACAACGTACTGTAGTTTCAGTATATATGTAATACAGTGAAAGCTCCCATAAGAGGACACTCACGGTTCCGTAACTTTTGTCCGCTTATGGGAGGTGTCCGTTTAAAAGAGAGTATGTAAGTATAGAGTATAAATAACGGGGTATATAATCATGAGGAAATGAGGTATTATAATCATGAGAAAAATGAAACAGAAACTCGCCACATTTTTAAAGTATGTATTTATGCTATATATCTATATAATATATGTACATATACGCATACAAAAACATAAATGCTTCAATACATGGTACGAGAATTTAAAAAAAAACATTATTCTTTAGCTTGTTGAAAAAAGTTTAAAATGTTTGTCTGACGAAATTTCACCATCTTTTGCTGAAGGAGACAATTTTCGTAATAACTTTCTAAATTTTTCAAATGTTGAAATGCAGTGAAATCATCTTTAGCAAATTTTTTCAATATAGAAATATGATTTAGAGCTTCCCCATATGAATTTATCGTTTTTGAACCGCTTAGTGAGTCCACCAGTTCCACTTCTTCTTCTGAGTCGTTTGGACTACCATATTCAAGTTGGCCTGGGCTTTCTACATCCAAATTCGAAAAGTTGCCAATGGCATTTTCTTCTGTTGTTATGTTATTGTCTATGGCCAGGAAATCATCTACTTTCTGGGGATCTGCTACTCCTAAATGTTTGGCATATCGCAGTAACTGAGCAAGTGTCGCTAAGGGCAGATCGTCTTCAGCATCGCAATAATTTTGCTCAGCAAATTCTGAGCTACATTCACTTTTTCTGAATCCAGCTTTGCCAAAACAGTTTTTAATTGTAGAGGAATTTACTTTATTCCATGCTGTTTTTATAAAATACAAAGCTTCTAACACATTGATAGACTTTGTAAGCTCAGATAAGCTTTGACCATCGTCAATTTTTGTTAAAATATGTTTTAAAATCAAGTGCCGATAATAAAATTTAAAGTTCTGTATGACACCTTGATCCATGGGCTGACAAACAGAAGTTGTGTTTGGCGGTAAAAATATAATTTTCACATTTTTCATTTTCATATCACGAGGATGAGAGCATGCATTGTCTAAAAATAAAAGAACTTGCCTTTTTTGGATTCTCATTTTCCGGTCGAATTCGACTAACCACTCAGACATGATTTCTCGGGTCATCCATGCCTTTTTGTTGGATTTCCAAGTCGCTGGTAGATCCTTAATAGCAACGTTTTTTAAAGCACGGGGATGAGCCGCTTTCCCGATCACAATCAAATCGCATTTTTCACCGGCCATATTTGCACAGAATAAAATGGTTAGTCTATCTTTAGACAACTTTCCACCCACACATGTTTCTCCTTTAAAGGACAGAGTTTTGTCGGGCAATGCGCGAAAAAAAAGTCCACTCTCATCTGCGTTGTACACATCTTCTGGTTTGTAGCCAAGCAACATGGACGGAAGTTTCTCCAAAAATTGTGACACATCAACTTGATCTACTGCAGCAGCTTCGCCAGATATGCATTTGAAACTCACACTATGTCTCTTGCGCCACTTTTGCAGCCACCCGTCGGACGCACTGAAATTATTATAGCCCAAAGGAGTGGCGATTTCTTTAGCTTTCATTTTCACTAACGGCCCTGAGATTGGAATGTTCTGACTTCTAGCTTTCACAAACCACTCAAAACATGTTTTGTCTATAGCAAAACCTTCCTTTTTTAAAAAATCCTTCTTTTGATTTATATTAGTTCCTGATTGCCATTTACTCCTGATATCTTCCTTATTTTTGGCAATTTCAGCTACTTGCGTTTTCCCAATATTAAACCTCTTTGCCAAATGACGAACTGAAACACTTTCTCTGTCTAATACGTTAACAACTTCCATCTTTTCCTTTAACGAGAGCATCCTTTTTTTGGTGCCATTTTACAGTTACAATAATAAAATACGTAACTCAATCAACTACGAATTTGCCTGAACTGAAGACAAGCCACAAGATTACATACAGGCTACCCAACGAAATGCGTAAATGGGGAATCACCTAATATAAATCGGGGAATTACCGAATTTTATGTATGTAGATATGTGCATTGCAATAAGCGGAACTAAAAAATCGCCCGGGTATTAGAGTTTCGCGTCCGCTTATGGGAGATTTTTTGATCACATACAGGAAAATCTAGTGTCCGCGTCCGTTTATAAGAGCGTCCGTTTATCGGAATGCATTTAACATTGAAAATTGATGGCTGAAATTCGGTTCCAGGAACTTTGTCCAGTTAAAAGAGATGTCCGCTTATAGGAGCTGTCCGCAAGGAGAGCTTTCACTGTAATTGCTTGCTGTTTATTTACGTTCTTAGTTCTTATAGTAAACCGTACTGGTCGGTTCACCAAGATTAAAATTATCTCTTGTACAGCTTAACCCAAACTTGCATTCTCGAAGTATCCAAACCCTGGTGTATACAGAAAACTGTTCAGGAGGATCAGGAAGATGTCCGCGGTTTAGGGGGGAGACACCTTGTTTAACCGGCCTGTATACGTTCAATATTATTGTGCAATATTTTGGTTTGTGCAATATAATTGATTGTATGTGGGCAATATTGAAATGATGTGCAATATATTGTGTGGTGTCGTGAAAATATATTGTGCAAACGGGAATATATTGTGCTGTCTGTTGGCAACATTGCACAATATCCCATCAGTTGGTCTCAATTCATTCGTATGAGGAGTTCATCAAATAATTCTCCAGCCATTCCTCAAAAGTTGCGGAAATCATTTTCAGATCATTGAGTAATTTTTTGTGGGTGTACTTTTTCCTATTAATAAACCTGAGCCGTTTTTCTTTTCTTGCACTTGCGGCCACTGCAATTACCACGCAATACAAGTAAATTTCACGCAACATATATTAAGTGCATGAAATTCTGACCAGAGCTGTTTGCACAATGTGCTTGTGCATCGGTGCTCACGATTGCGCCATATATTTATTATAGAAACTTCAATATCGCCACCATACGGTACAATCTTTCGTACAAACCAAAATATTGTACAATAATATTGTGCAAGCACAATAATATTGAACGTCTAAAGGCCGCTTAAAGCGGTAGATGCTATGGCTGGCGGGAAGTGTCCGACAATGGTGGACCATACAGGGTATCCAAGATAAGGATCCTGTGCATGAGGATCTCAATACCTATGAGAGGTACAACTTAGTTGAATTATGAAAAAGCTGCGCTACCGTTGAGA